GGGTCCTCGAGCCCGCCTGGGGACAGGGTGGGTAGACACAGCCAGGCCCCGGCAGTCCCTCCAGGCACCCCAAGGCCCCAGGGAGCAGCAGGGACTGACTCAGTGAGTCTCCCGTGTGGCCGCCTCACACCGCTCACTCCTGCTCCGGGATCCAACCTCTGGCAATCTGCCCACAAGCTCTCCGGCGCTGCTTTGGGAACACCCAGGCCAAGGGACCCCGCATCCCACTTAGTAGCCCCATATGTGCACAACACCCCGCTTTCCTCCAGGAACCCTGTCCTCTGTCCAGTGGATTCTGTCCTACAGCAGGGACGGGACATGGGGCCCAGCTGCTGACGGATCACAGCTCAGCCCAGTGTGCCCTGGACCGTGTGGGGAAACCGTGGGCTCCTGTGTGCGACGGCCTGACGCCAGAGCGCCGAGGCCCCGTGGAGGCCATGCGGAGGCCATGTGGCCGTCTGCCCTCTGGGAACAGCCGTCCTCGAGGAGGACAGCAGGACCCTGGGCCAAGGCCACACAGGCCAGAGGCAGAGGCCCCCAACCCCTCTTACACCACTGTGAGCTGGTTTTCCCACCCCTTGACTGAAAAAGAGCAGAACTCCCAGGACTCTGCCAGGGGTCCGACGTGGGGGCGGGGCGAGACCGCAGGTGTGTGCACCTGGACCAGGTGGGCCAACCCGAGGCCAGAGCTGGGAGGGAGCTGCAGGAGTCTATGGTCTCAGCACCAGGTGGGAGGCCCAGCAGGCAGGTACTCGCGTGGGCTGGAGCCCAGGGAGTCTGGAAGGATCCACAGCCTGGGGGTGTCTGATGCAAGAGCCCGGAGCTGTGGGGCGCGGGAGACACTGGGAGGGCTGACCCCACCAGGGCAGGACGCCGCCCAGGAATCGCCAGGTGCCCCAAGGACCCCCAGAGCCGGCCTTCCGGCCCCTCCCAGAATCTCCTCGAAGGACTCCACGCCTGGAGCTGGTAGTACCTTGGCCTCAGCCCCGGTGCCAGGTGCAGGGACTGGGGGACCAGCGCCCACCTCAGCTGCCAGGGTACGATGGCCTGGGGCGGGCACAGCTGCCTCACGCGCCACCCAGCACCACAGCACACACAGCCTCCTCTACCTCCTGACCACCCTTGTGCCATTCACAGATGGGGAAACTGAGGCTCCGTGAGGTTGGAGGCCAGGCAGTAAGGTTCAAGGGTGCAGGCCGGGCCGTGGGAAGAGCCCGGCCTCAGCCCCGTGGCAGTGGGTTCCAGGGCTGGTGGTCACTTCCCCGTCTCCCTGTCACAGAAGACATGTCATTCCCCCATCATGCCTCCACCAAGCCCACCCTATCCCTGGGCCACCTGAACTTTTACTTAAGTCGACATTCTCTTTGAAATTAAAACTATTTACACTTCACACCACAGCCCACGAACCACCACGGCCCGAGCAGCAGTCGTATCTTAGTCCACCGCTGGGCTTCACCCCGACCCATGGCAGGACGTGGGGTGGTGGGGCTGGCCTCAAACCCCACCTGGGCGTGCCTGCAGATGCCTGAGCCCCAGCGCCCCTCTGCCTTCGACCTCACCTACACGGCCCCGGGCCTCACCTGCACAGCCCTGGGCCTCACCTACACAGCCCCGGGCCTCACCTGCACAGCGGGGCGGCCACTTCTGACCATCTTGCAGATTTCCTCGCAGGGGAGAAAACACTAAGATGCCCCCAGGAACTGCCTGTTGGCCTCAGAGCATTCCGGAAGCTGGGGGTGGGTTCCTAGGAAGCTGATACCACCTGGCCATGGTCACCTCGCCGTAAGCCCCCAGCCCCCCCGCATTCAGTGTCCAGCAAGCCCCTGCAGCCAGGGTGTCCAGGCAGAGGCCCCATGAGGCCCCCTTCAAGGGAATGGAGGGGGGGGTCCCATCAGGGCAGGGATCCCACAGCCACAGGACTTGAGTTCAAATCCCTGCTCTTCCTCCTCTGAAGTCCGTGCTGTAGCTATCTCGACCCCATTTCAGGGATGTAAATCTCTTTGAACTGGACTGTTTGGTCACAGAGCAGGCAAAGGGCCTCGGTCCTGGGCCCTGCAGCCGGCACCTGCCCAGACGCAACCCCAAGGGGCACGGCCCTGCCATCCGCAGCACAAAGCCCCAGCACTGCCCAGCGCATCCCAGCCTCGCCCACGCCTGGGGGCTGGGGAGAAGGCCCTGAGAGGCAGGACTCCTGCCCCACAGCACAGGCCCTCCTGCTGCCCCCACCCTGAGGACCGCCCAACGTTCCCACGGTCGGTCTGCTGGGGCCCCCGGGTCAGGCCACGCCAAGGGCACAGCTTGTGAGCAACGCCCTCAAGTCCCACCGCAGGGTCCATGAGGAACCGGCCACATACGGAAGGTTCCAAGCACCCACGACCAGCCCAGGAGCCAGACGGGAAAGTAGCAGCAGAGGGGCAGCCTCTGAAGCCAGCCCTGTGGCTGCGCTGCGGACACTAACCCTAACCTGAGCTGCACCTGACTTTGCCGCACCTGTCACAGGGAGTCCCCAGACAGCTGTGGGGAGCCGGGCTGGAGGGTGAGACTGCCTGGGGACCCAGCCAGGGCCAAGCCAGAGTTCACAGACGAGGACAGATGCCTGGACAAAGACAGGGAAACACCCCCAGATAGAGGAGGAGCCCTGGCAAGGAGCGCCCAGGTGGGCTCAGGTCTCAACGGCTTGGCAACCCTGCTCCCAAGGGCTGTTCCCTACAGTGTTGGGGCCTGGAGGGCGACAACCGGGTGGAAACGCTCCCAGGCCACAGAAGCAGCACCCCCGGCACCCGGGGGCTCCATGTCGCAGGTGCGCACTGAGGTGCAGAGGAGGGCCCTCGCCCAAGGTCACGGGACTCACGAGATGCAAAGAGCCAACCCTGAGCAGAAAGCTGACTTGGGGTCCCACGCCCAGGTGCAGCCCAGGGCCATGGGCCCGGGAGGGGGCCCAGGCAGGAGCAGAAATGCCTGGAATGCGGGGCAGAGCCGCAACAAAGGCTGCAGGCTGCAGGAACGTGGGCGGGCAGCTCAGAAACAAGCCAGCTGCAGACGTGGCCTCCACTGCCAACCCCTCCTGGCAGGAGAGGCCCAAGAGTCCTGCCTGCCCCAGACTCCCACTCCCGCATGCTGGGGCGGGGCCCTCACCTGCCCAAGTGAATGAGTGAAAGAGGGAGGGGGAGGGAGCACCAGCCACCGCCCGGGGCTCGGGACCTCTTCTAGTGGGATTTCTCCTCCCCAAGAGCACACCAGGCTTTTCTGCTCCATTGCTTTAATGGACACAGCAAGTCACCAGACGGCTTTGCGCAAAAAAAGAAAATCTGAGCAGTATCATCAGCATGTCACAGAAACATAAATACATAAATTACATGTTCGCACACCTCACGTCAGACGTACATTCGCAGGCACAGCACTGAACGGCGCGGCGCTCGGCTGCAGTGCACCGGGCTGGGGCAGGGCGTCTCGGGCACCGGCACAGCCTCCCTGTCTGTGGTGAGGGAGCCGGGGCACGGCTGCCTGGCCCCACCCTCTGGGCCACCCTCTGCCCACTTGAAAAGCGTCCCACCGAGGCCTGAAACTGCACCAGTTGAAGACAGTCCTTTACAAAACTCTTCCACCAGCGCACGTGCAACAGCCGCCGTTCTGCACACAGTCCCTTGGCAGCAGGGGCCAAGATCCAAGGGATCCCGATGTCACATCAGCCTCGAGGTGGCAGGCGGAGGCAGCCACCGGCCGGGCCAGCAGGGCCCCAGGAGTGGATACGGCCAGGTCGGCTGACTTCTTGGATAACATTTTTAACCATTCCTTTGGCTGCTCTGACGCGGCGGACCACCTGCAGGATGGCGCTATCCAGCCTATTCCCGTAGCTTCTGGAGTCGGAGGGCAGGCCCGGCATTCCCAGGGTGCTCACTATGGGGGGTCCGGGGGCACCGGCCTGGAACGCTCTGATCTCCTAGTCTCCACCCGATGCTGCACCACGTGACCACGGAACAGGGGCGTGCGTACTCAGTACTACAAAAACGTGACCACAAAATGCCTTTCATGTGCACAGGTTTTGCTGCTGGGATTTTTTTTTTTTTAATTTTGGATCAAAAAAAAAATAGCAGGCTCTCAGGTATATAAAACTGTCAGATAAAAATACAAACTTCACCTTTACAAAAAAAAATGAAAACAAACAAACCAACACACATTTCTGTCAATACACATAAAGCATAACATCTTACCAAAAATAAAGAATTCGGGTTCTGTCCAACACTGGCCGCGGCAGGGAGCAGCCTCCACTGCCGTGGCACGTTAACGACAGACAGAAGCAGCAAAGCGTCTCGCCCGCCACGCTCAGGAACATAGCATCCACAGTGCGCGCTCCGGGAACGAGGCCTCGGGGGGCAGGAGCCGCAGGGACGGCAGACGATTGGTTTACGCACAGTTCTCTCAAAATGGCTTAAATTAAAAAGTAAGATAACGATGGATTGAGGGAGACACAAAGCAGGAGTTAGGAGATGATGCTTAGGTAGGTATACCACGTTTATTTAATACATCTCATTAGTTTGCATCTTGCTAGGAAAAATACCGTCGCGCTGTCCCGACAGTTACAGCAGCCTGTGTGTTATTGGTGTAAATGTCATCCAAGAGATAATTAAAAAAAAAAAAAAAAAAAAAAGCTAGGCAGAGAGTAAAAAGGAAAGCTTAGTAATCACTTTATGGTGTAAATAAAAAAATCCACTTAAGGCTCTCAGGAAGGTTTCTGTATAATCTCAGACACTACAGCCAGGAGGTGTGGTTTCTACAGTTCCTGTGGCGGCGTCCGAGACGTTCCTGCTGCCCGCGCCCCGCAGAGCCCGCCGCGCCCCTCCGGAGTCGCTCCCAAAGCAGGCTCTGTGTCCTCGGCAAAAAGCACCTGTGGCCGCCCGGACAGAAACCCAGTCTGCGGAGACCTTTGCGCTTCCATCCCGCGGGGCGACCCTCCGTGCGTGGACTGTGTAGAGACTTTGTGAGTCCGTTTTGTTTTTGTCATGTTTCGTGGTTTTGTTTTCTCTCTCTCTCTCTCTTTTTGACAAGGAAGCTTCTTACTGCTTCGCCGAGTGCTACAATACTTGCTTTGATGTCACATTGAACAAATGTGCACTGTCTCTTTGTTCTCCGGAGTGTTCCCGGACACAGTTTTTCACGGAGGAGAACAAAGACCGCACACTGGCAATAAAGCACCGTACATAGTAGGTTCAGGAATGTAACACGCCATGTACATCCATGTCCCAGGGCAGGGCTGCCGGCGTAGCCTCACCTCACGTCTGCAGGAGGGAAAGAAACAGACACTGAGACCGCAAAGCACATGCGTCCCTACGTGGACGGCAAACGGGGTGAGACGTTTAACCCAATCAGGGGCACACGGGGATTTAGTTTTCACGAAATTTCGAAAATCAAACTTTCCAAATTAGCCACGTTGCAACATCCTGACCAGAATTGGGACGAGGCTCACAGCATCTCACAGAAGAGCAAGCCCCATTCTCCCATTGTACAGATGGGGGAAACTGAGGCCCAGATTGGTTCTTTTGCCCCCCTCCCTTTCTTACTTCTGGTCTAGGGCTTGGAGGCGATTTCTGGAGCTCTGGCAGCCACCCCGGGCCATGAGGCAACCCCAAGGAGTGAGGCCAACAGCCACAGAGAAGGGGCCCCTGTGACCAGGCAGATCTACACCAAATTCTTTGGGACGACTCTCCTCCCCCGTTAGTCTCTCCACTGCATGTTCCAACACACGGGCTGCCCACAGGCCCGGATCCTGCGCTGGCTGGAGCAGGAATGGCTGCCTCAAACTCTGGGGTCTCCATCACCAGCAGGCCCAAGGAGGTCTGAGCCTAACACTCTGCAGAAGCTGGGAGCACAGGCAGGTGAGAAACCACCCACCGCACCACACCCTTGAAGCTTTGAAGACCTTCCCCATGGACACTTTCCTCCCAAGAGGATCCTCCGTAATGGACCTGACCCAGGGTCTCAAAATCACATGTTGCCGGACAGGAGCCAGGGTTCATGGACACCCTGTCTCTGGGACTCTCCTCTGCTCCAAAGCAACTATTTGTTTCGGATGCCACAGCATCCCACATGCCAGGAGGAAGGACTGCCTCCTCCATGAAGGCTGTGGTTGCTCAAGTCCCCTTTTCTTCTGGGAGCAGCACTCCTCCCTAGGAGACATTTCTGAGGGTCCCTTGGCTGCAAGGCAAATTCGAAAAATAAAAGTGGCAGCAATGGGGTTTCCAGGAAAGCTCTCTAAGGGGTTCTCCTGCACATCTCCCATCCCTCTCTCTCTCAACCCAGAGCATGGATGTGATTGCTAGAGCCTTGGCAGCCACCTTGAGCCATGAGACAACTGTGAGGACAGAGGCTACTGACCCCAGATGGAAGGCCCCTGATGATGCTTCGAGACTACCCCACCTGCTCTGGTCTCCTATCTTCACACGGAGTTATGACCTTGAGTTCACCTTGTCTCCATCTTCCCTGTTGTTTCTGGTTTACTGGTAGCCAAACTCAATTTTCAACACAGCGGCCAGTAGCCCTGCACATTTATAAGGTATTTCCAGATCCACTCAGCTCCCAACACTTATCTGCAATCTCTGTTAAGCCTCAGTTTTTACATCTGTCAAATGGGGGGATGACCTGCCCCAGAGCAGTCGGCAGTCAGCGGTGCTCCACTGCCGCTCAGAAAACCCAACCGTTCCATTCATGTGCGACACCCCTGTGTCCCCAATCAATGACAAAGAGAAGAACCAAGCTAGAGGGGGCCCCAGAGCAGAGGTGAGCCGTGGATCAGGGCTCTCTTTGCGGCAGGAGGGGACAGGGAGCGAGGAGACCCGAGCCCAGCAGGCACCGGAAGCCGCAGAACCACCGAGGCCAATCACGGCCCCGCTGCACTCGCGACTCGGGAAGCGTGATTCAAGGGAGTGATCCGAAATTGCCTCTCCCAGCCCTGCAGGATTGCGGCATGTCCAGCGGTCAGGTCCTACCTGGTTGGCTGTGTTAGGTGGGTTTTAACCTTTTTCTTTTCCGTTTTTTACCTGACTCCCTACGCCTTCCTGTTAACAAAAGGGCAGGGCGGTGAGAGGGCCTGAGGGAAGGCTGTCGGGTGGAGACCGAGGCAATAAACACCTGAGGTGTTTATCTTTCTAGGAGGACTCCATCACCCCAGCACAGAGAGTCCCTCTGCTCCCAGGGCCCTGACGTGGCAGGTCCCCAACCCCACGCTGCTCCTGGGCACGAGACCCTGGCAACCACACAGAAGCCGCCCTCCCACCTGCACCTCCCGGGCAGGGCCTTCTGCAGCCGCTTCTAAGCTTGGCCCACAGGCCCGCTGGTCTGCAGGCGACCTGCACACCCCCAGCACGTCCCCGCCCAGCTCGAACCTCCTCCCCCCAGCGCCCACAGGTGCAGATCTGCCTCCCAGCAGCCCCCGGGTGTGCAGGTGCGCACCTACCCACAAGGCTACCGACTCACTCACTGGCAGCCCGATGCCACCACCCGCCGAGGGTCCCACGAGGCTCCAAGGACCTTATCAAATGATGATGACAGTGGAGTCAGCCACTCACCTGTGTCCTCTTCCCGGTAATCCGGATTCAGGCTGGTGGTCGTACACGCGCACTCCAAGTGTTCCTCTAACCTCACCTGGACTTCTTTTAATTTTGGCTTCTTCCTGACATATTCCACCTTGGCCACCTGCCCAGGAGAGCAGAGCCCAGCCATGAACACCCACATGGAGCTCTGGACACCGCGAGGCACACAGGGAGCTGGGGACGCGCTCGGCCCTACCCGGGCTGGAGGGACCTGACCTCCAATCTGACCTCCTCCCAAGTACTCTACCTCTGGGGGGCGGGGCACCAGGTGAAAAATCCACGCGCTACGGCACAGTGTTTTGTGGCCTGGCCCCATTTTTGTTTAAAATGAACCCAAAGGTTTACCCCGCCTCACGTATGCCCGGGTTGGGGGTCTGAAGGGTGCACACAGCAAAGCTGGGGTTCTGGGCACAGGTGTCAGGGAAGACGTTTGCTGGTACACGTATGTGCAGCTGGGAACTGCTTTCAGACGTGTGCTTTGTTACAAAGGACAGCAGCCGTGGCCCAGGAACGGGACTTACTGCTGTGGGGCCTGGCTCGTGGCTGCCCTTCCCACCCGGTCCAAGGAGAAACAACAGACGCAGCCCCAGGGGCTGCGAGGAGGTCTGGGCTGGACACTGGGGTTGGACTCGAGAGTCCAGGCAGTGGCCCGAGGCTGCTGGCCTGACGACCCAGGGCTGCCAGGCAGCTCCAGCCCAGGCCTGGTCTCTCCTCGGGCTCAGAGGACGCCTGGCCTCAGGGACACGGGCCAGGACCCCAGGCTATCACAGGAGCTGCATGCAACAGAGACAGAGGATGGGGCTTCCAGGCAGGGGAGTACAAAGACAGCCCAGAACTTAGCCAGTGGCCCCTCTTCAGACTGGAGTCTGCCGTCTGTGGCCACACCAGCCCTGGTGCTGGAGCAGAACCACACCTGGGGGCCTCACTCCACAGCGCCCCCCATCCAAGAGAGCCTGAGACATAACCTCCAGGCATTCAAGAATGGAGGGCCAGAAATCCAATCCCCACCCTCCAGGGCAGGTGCCCTGGGCATCCACAACCCATCCTGAACCAGCACATTCTGTCATGGCAGCGCAACTCCACCCCACACACGTACACACGTGTGTATAATGCACACACACATACAGACTATCGTGGGAGCGCAATCCATCCCCCATACACACCGCCCATCATGGGAGCGCAACTCCACCCCACACACGTACACGTGTGTGTAATGCACACACACAGACTGTCATGGGTGGGCAACTCCACCCCACACATGCCCACACATGCTCTGTCATGCATGGGAGCACCCCACACACGTACACACATGTGTATAATGCACACACACATATAGACTGTCATGGGAGCGCAATCTACCCCACACACACACCCCCCATCGTGGGAGTGCAACTCCACCCCACACACGTACACAAATGTGTATAATGCACACACACACTGTCATGGGAGTGCAACTCCACCCCACAGACATACACACACAAGCACACGTGTCCATAATGCACACACATGCCCATTCATGGGAACACTCCACCCCATACATGCACACGTGTGGTCATAATACTCACATGCGTAATGCATACAGTGTATGCATACACCTGGCATCAACAATCACTTAACACACAGCCATTCAGCACCTGCACTGTAGGCAGCCATGCACCTGGCCACGGGCCCCAGGCTGGGGGAGCCATAGCTGTGCCCCTACCCCAGTGAGCAGAGGGCCTGAGCCCTTAGAGCATCGGCTCCCCCAGGCACCTTCCTTGTAAAAGCCCAAATTCTAACATTCATTGAATCCTCCTGAACACCCTGTAGGAGGCAGGGTTGTCGCTTCTACTTATATGGAAGGAAACTGAGGCACAGGCAAGCCCCTTCCCCAAGATGACCCCGGTGGCAGGAGCAGGGCCAGGATGTGGGTGCTGGGGCCTCACTGGGGACATGCCACCATTCTGCCCTCCCCAAGCCCCACACGCCACCAATCCTAAACAGCCTGTGAGGACCCCCCACTTCACCTCTCACTGTCCACTGGGGAAATTGAGGCTGCAAGGTAGCAGAGCCTGGGAGACCCCCGAGCACGTGGAGGTCGAAGAAAGCTGGTCACCACGTGACAATGAGGCCCTAGGCTGGGTCCAGGTGCCCCAGCCCAGTGGGCCCTGCCTCCCAGGGGGTCTAGAGACCCGGAGACCCCCCAGGCAAAGGGTCAGCCCTGCACTCTGGACCAGGCAACCCACCCCACAGAGCAGCCAGCCCTTCAGGCACTGGGGACCAGGCTCGTCTCAGACCCTGCGTGGCCGCCTCGGCCACATTAATGGTTAACTCGTGGTGCAAAGGGTGCCGGGCACCCGCAGGCGTGTGAGGTGCTGTGGGCAGCCTCAGGTGTGAACACAGCCCTAGGTATGAGCTCAGGTGTGGGGCGTGGGGCACCTGGAGCTGGCCCAGCAGTGGGGCCTTGGCACGGGAGGTTTCGCTACGTCAGAAGGCACAAGAGACCGGCCTGGGGCCAGCCTTGCCTGTGCGGCCGCTCCCTAGATGAGCTCCGTCCCACTAGGCGCTTGCGCCCACATAGGCCTTGACCAGGGCCCCATCTCCCAATCTTGTCTCCCCAGCGACAGCAAGAAAGAGGCATCTGCAGGCTGCGCAGACACCTCCGCCCTCTGCTCTGCAAAATGGGGGCGCCGATCACACCCACCTAGGGGTCGTGGCGAGGAATGATAGGTCGCACCTGCAGAAATTCCCAGAACTTAGGACAGAGCCCACTGCTCCTGGGGTCAGCATTTGCATTCAGAGCCCAACGAACCAAAAGCAGCCCCATGCTTCAGTCAGGGCAGGCTGAGCCAGGCGGCCCCAGGGGTCTCTGGCACAGCCCACTTACAGCCTCCAGCAGGCAGAAAGTGGGGTCCCTGAGTGACCCTCATTCAGGGTCCTGGGTGGGAGAGCCCACCTAAGGGTAAACCTCAGCAAGTCCAGAGAGGGACTGGCCCAGCCCTCACCCTCCACGAATCAAGATCTCCGAGTCTGCCCAGGTATCAACTGGGGACACCTCCACCCCCACGGTGCAGAGAATGGGGCCCAGCCCCTCCCGCCCCACAGGAGCCAAGCAACCTCCTCCCCTGCCCTGGGGTCCTGGCCACAGACACAAGCAGTGGCAGAGTGCCAGCCCGCACCCTGCAAGCTCCCCTAGCTGAGCACCCACGCTCCCTCCCACCCAGCCTCTGCGGGTGGGCTTGGATTTCCGAATCCAAGAGCCGGCTCGGGCAGGGCACTTGTCCTGCTCTCGGCCCTGGCCCTCCAGCTGGCACGGCCTCTTTGGTCAACAAGCAGCCTCACCTAGTTCCCTCTGCAGGGCAGATACCAGGGTCCGGCTCAGCAGGGACCACAGGGCCCTGGCCAGACACTGGAGGCCTGGGCGGAGGGGCAGGCCGCCGTGAGGAAGGCAGACTCCCAGACACAACAAACGCTGCCCACCGAGGGCCCCGTGCGAAGGGCACACAACACGGGCCACTCCAGTCCGGGAGCCACTTTCTCTTCAGACAAGCCCATTTTTATCAAAGAAAAACAAACAGCAATTTATGACTGCACCTGCTTCTGGGTATGCGAGGATTCCAGGCCATTCCGCCACCTCTGTCTGGCCAGGAAATAACTACATTTTTCCCCCAAGAACACATCATGAATATTAAATTCTCAAAAAACCTCTTCCATGGAAGCCAAGGACAAAGAAGAGAGCCGTCCCCAGGACCCCACTGAAGCCGCCTTGCAGGGTTCCCTTGCCCTGCCCCGCCCCCGGTCCCCGAGGTGCAGGCTGCACCTTATCACACCAGACATTCCGATGCCCACTCCTGAGCTTGCATGCTGCCAGCTGAGCCACCTGAACACCCCCCGGCACACTCACCCGGAAGGACAAGTCCTCCCTCTAGGCCTGGCTCCCCCAGTGCAGCCACCCAGCTCCTGCAGAGACCCCCAGGAGGGCTTGGGACAGATATACCCTGCACTTGCACCCAACTCCAGGTGATGCCCAAGCTTGAGACAATATTAGCCCGGATAAAAACACCATTTCCTAAACCCCACGTGCTGGCTGCTGTAACCCCCCAGCTACCCTGAGAACACAATTGAGGTCCATTTCACAGATAAGGAAACGGTGGGCATAGACAAGGCCAACACCCTGCCCAGAGCCACACAGCTTTGAATCCCCAGCGCTAGGCCGGGCCCTTCTCTCTTTCGAGGGAAGGAGGCCTAGACTTGGAACACACAGAGGCCCGGCCCTCGGCCTGCCCGTTCTCTGGGCAGAGACACTGAGCCCGTTGCTCAACCCAGGATCTTAACTTGGGCCAAGAACCCTCCCCGGCCAAGATAGCACTGGAGCCCCATAGCCACTGAGACCTGAAGCCAAGGCCCAGACCTCACACTGGGGTGCAGGCCCTGCCCAACCCAGCTTGATGGGGGTCCCTCTGGGAACCTGTCACCTAAAACAGCCCTCCCACTCCATTTCAGGGTGCAGAGGCCCATCCTGGGACCCCCAGGCAAGCACATGCCTTCTGGGAGGCTTGGGCCAGGCAAAGCAGGGCCACAGCCTACAGCCCTGAACATAGCTGTAGCACCGGACACTGGCTTTTTGGAGACCTGGGAGGCTGAGCAGTTTGGCTCACACCTACAAGGCTGCCCCAGTCAGACGGCAACTCAGAGCTGGCTCCTTCCAGGGCAGGGCCAGGCAGGGGTGAGCCAGGGCTGCACCCCCAGAGGTCCCGGCACAGTGCTTGGCCCTCACTCTGGACCAGGACTTCCGGCCTCGGCTCTGTCCAGGCAACCCCCACACCCCCCGTGGGCCAGGCAACTTGACCTCACGTCCCCACCCCAAAGCTCACGGCTGGAGGAGAGCCAGGCACCCAGGGACCAGACCCCAAGCGCTGGCCATGCCTAGCAGAGTGCAGGGAAAAGCCCTCCAGGCTGGTGGCCCCAGGCTGAGGGCCAGCCATGACCTCATGACCCCAGCAGGGCCTGCGCCAGGAGCTGGGCTGGGGGCGAGTGGTCTGCTCTAGAGTGTCCAGGAAGAGAGAGGAGAGCCCAACCCAGGGCCCTGGCCTCAGAACAACCCACACCTGCGACCCCAGTGTTGACCTGGGCACAGTCACGAGAATGTCTGGGTCCTCGTGGAAGCCGGGGGTCTGGCTGTCAACCCAGCACGCCCAGACACCCTGGGCCTGGGTGCCCTCCCTGGGACTGCCTTCAGCTGAGCACACCCTGGATGCCTACCAGCCCTGGCTGCCATGGGCAACCACTCCGTGCTGAGCCCTGCACCGCCACAGCTCCGAGTCTGGGATTCCAGCCCCCGCATCCTCTGCCCCGGGGCCACATCTGCCTGGATCCCAAATGGAGTGGGACCAGCCCCAGCTCAGCTTCCACAATGGGCCCCCTGTTTCCCCTGACCTCTTGTCCCTCCACCAGAGCCCCCTGTGTCTGGGGCCGGATGTTTTCCTGCAACCCTGGCGGGTGGGCAGGGAGAGGCCTTCCAGGCAGGGAGAACCCAGGCACTGCAGGGCGTGGCCCGTGACCTTGGGAAGGCCCCTCCCCTCAAGGCTGCCAGGACTGTCTTCAGACCAGGCCACCGGGTGCAGGCCTGGTCTCAGCTCCACCCACACAGAGCAGTGAAGGGGTCACTATCCAGAAGGAGCGGGGCCCCCACCGCACTGCTAGGAGCTGGGCTGGGACCCCAGAGGGGCTGGCTGGGACCAAAGGCTCCTCGGAGTCGGGGAGGAAACATCGCTGCCCAAGCAGGGACCGGACGCTCCCTTTCCCCACCCACGGGAAGCAAGGCTGGAGCCCCCACCAGCGACCTTCCCCCCACATCATGTCAGCACCCGTCCCTCCCAGAGTGGCATCTGGGACACTTGAAGGACAGCTCTCGGCTCCCAGAGCTGATGTGGAGGAGTATCCATGCCAGAGCACCCACATTCAGGACCCAGGAGAACAAGACCACAGGCATCCTGGGTCCTTGGGCTCAGGAGAGCCGCCAGCATACCACCAGTGAGGACCCCAGGAAAGGCAGAGGATGGGCCGTGGTCACACAGGAGGGGCTAGTGGCCATGGAGCCCCAGGGGAGTGGACACTGGGGAGGGGACAGAGCTCGGCCCACGACCAGGGCCCCCCTGGCCGCTTGAGCCTGGAGGCCTGACCCACAAACAGCCTCTGAAGATAAGACAGCCCCCCAGACAAGCACCCCCAGGCCCCGAGAATAGCTCGGGGCTTTGTAAGGGGAGTGTCAGGCCTTGGCGGTCGTGGGGCAGTGAGAGGTGGAACCTGCTTACTCAATACCCGAGCACTGCAGGGAACCAAGTCCTCGCAGGTCAAGATAAGTCCCAGTTATGGGTCTAAAGTGCCTGGTCGTGTGACAAATAAACACTCGTTGGCCACGGGATCCTTCATCAAGAAAACTCTCCCCAGGCATCTCACCCCGGGGCCTGGAGACACAGCAGGGGAGACTTGAAATAATGATCTTCTACGGTCAGAAAAGGGGGCCTAACATGCCCCCAGAACTGAGATCCGCAAGCCCAGTTTTCGTGACCCCTGTCCCAGAGGGATGGGCCGGCCAACACCAAAAGCTCATATGAGGCTTGGGCAGGCAGCTTTGCATGAAAACATGTCCCACCTGCGCCCCGAGGTTGTGTGGGACCCTCCAGTGCCTGAACCTCCCAGAGCCTGTACCCAGGGACAGGAGCCCCAGGAGGACCCACCTCTCCTCAGTGGGAGCCCAGGGATGGCACCGGTACCAGCCAGGCCACAGAAGCCAGGGGACACCTCAGACATGCCACCTCCAACCCCATCCTGACAACGGGAGGCAGGTCCCCAGACAGGGACTGAGACCCAGACACAGGGAAACTGCCCATCCCACGGCACTGCCAGGAGGGGGTCAGTCCTTGCCACAGACCCGCCGCACAGACGAGGGAGTCAGGGCAAAGGGAGCAAACCCAGGCCCAGCAGCCTCCAGGCCGAGAGCCACAGGCCCCACGGCTGCCCGGCGGGACCTGCAGGCACAGAACAGTCCCCAGACTCATGCAGGGACAGAAAAAAGCCCCCAGAGGTAATTTAAGCATGGCCGTCCCAAGTTCCCAGCACTGCCCCCGCCTGAGACAGGGCTTTGTGGCCAGTGCCAACTGTGTACTGGCTCCGACATGGCCAGCCCGGCCCCTGGCCCTGAAAGCCCGAGCACACTCTCCTGAGAGGGGAGGCTGGGCGAGGCGCTCGGCAACCTGGGGAGACCCCTCCTGAGACACACTGGGCAAGGCCATCTGGGGGCAGCCCCTCTCCTACAGCACCCAAGGGAGCAGGGGAGTCCCCCCACATTCCAGGGCCCAGAGCCTTACCCACAGGGGATGGTGTTAGGGTTAGGAGGTGGGGTCCTCACGGATGGGGTTAGCACCTTTCAGAGAGGCCTGAGGAAGCTTGTTCTCCCCCCACACACACATGAGGACACAACAGCAAGAAGGCGCCGTCTATGAACAAGAAACAGGTCCCCACCAGACACCAAATCTGCTGGCACCGTGAGGACCTCCAGCCTCCAGACCTTTGAGGAATAAACTCTGTTGCTTGTTAGCTCCCTGTCTGCGGCACCATGTCGCAGCAGCCCGACCATAACAGGACAGGCACCATCCCCAGTGTGCAGAAAGAACAGATCACCCAGGCCCCAAAGCCACAGTTGGGGGCAGCTGTCTGACCCTGAGCCCCGCCCCAAGCTCCCTCCGCAGATCTGGGACCCCCAGCCCCTCTCGCCATGCCCCACAGCTCCCCAAGGCGCCTGCTCTCGGGGGCCTGGGAATGCTGGCAGTGTCCAATGCAGCAGCTGGACACCTTGCAAGACCCCCCAGCGAGGCAGAGGCAGCTCTCAAACAGGGTGTGAGAGCTCTGCCCCCAGTGAGAGGGTGTGTGGGGCCTGGAAGGAGGCTGGACCCGGCCCAGGCAGCAGACTGGGAGCCGCAGCTCTGCCCCTACCTCCCTCTGCGCCCCGGCCTCCCCTCCGGGCCTCAGTGCACCTGTCAGAGACACAGGAGCACAGCCCCCCTACCCACTCCATCAGCCAGCTGAGTGCCCGAGAAGTGCCCAGAAGGGACTGGGGCTGCCTTGGGGTGTTGGCCCAGGGGTGGCCGGGGCTCACCTTGACGCTGCGGTGGTGGATACGCGAGGGCTGACACTTGACGCTGCTGGTGTTGCAGCAGCCGGTACAGCGTCTCACCTCCACGCACGGGGGCCAGATCAGGAAGTTGGCGGATGTGGGGTCGACCTGGCTCCGCGGAATCTCGTAAATGACCGTCCTGGTCTTGCAGACCGCGGGGACAGCTTCCTCTGCAAAGGCAGGCGTGCACTAAGCATAGGGCCCGAGGCACAGCACCTGCCCCAGGCACGGCAGCCCCCTTCTAGACCCTGCTCCACCCAGGCCTGGCGTGACGGTGACCCCGGAGCAGACAGGAGCCCCGCGGAGCTGCCACAGTCTCCCTCAGGACCTCACTCCTGGGGGTGAGGCACAGGCCGGACCCTTCCCTGAACAGGGTGCTGCTGAGCTGGCCAGAGGATGAGGGGCCGTGCGGGACACTGAGGGTCTGCAGGAGCCCGTCCACAGCCGCGGGGAGGAGGGACCCACGGTGGCTGCCAGGGAGAAGCTTGCAGTCCTGCTTGTGGACACTGCCTCCTGTCGGACCCAGTGGCGGAATCTGCAGCACCGGCTGGAAGACCCTGTGGCCAAAGTGGCCTGAAGGGTGTAAAATGTGTGATTCCTGCAGCAAACGTCACCTGGGGAGGGCGCCTGTGGTAACCAGGAATCACTCATCCACATGCCACGCAAAGGTGGAAGGTACAAGGGCCACCTTCTCGGAGGTAACTAAAGTTGGGGGGGTCCACTTGCTCAGAGCAGCAGCCAGGGCTCACACCCGGCAGCTCTGCCAAGCAGGCGGGACCCTGGAGGGTGTGGGACTTGATGGGTCACACCCCCGAACCCTCCCCCTCTGGCAAGAAGGCACGGACCAGGCCCCAGAGCCCCCCAACCAGCTAGCTCCTCCTCCAGTGCCAGAGGGACGTGAGGATGCCCCGTGAGAGGGGACAAGAACCAAAATATCCCCCAAACCATCGCCCAGGTATAGCTCTGGAGCCAGACGAGAGTGGGGTGGGCACAGGGAGTGGCGAGGGGTGTGCGAGCAGCCCGCCAGGCACGCACGGCTGCACCAGCACGGAACGAACCGAATACTCAACAGGACCAGGTTTCCAGCCAGGCTCCTGGAGGACAGGCCCCAACAAGATCGGGCACTTAAGGAATTTATGACGCTTCTTCTCTCCTGGAAACTCTTGGCCCAGACCACGGCTCCTCGAGGGGCAGGCGGGCTGGCACAGGAGATACCCCAGCAGGAAGGAGGTCCCCAGAGGCCAGAGACACGGGCCAGGCGGGCCCAGACTTTGCTTCACGGAAGAGGGAAGAGGTGGCTCACCTGGGGCTAGAGTCAGGGAGAGCCAGGCCCTCTCCCGCCCCCACCCTGCCCCCACCTGCAGCAGCCTCCTGGGACTCACCGATGCTTCTTTTCCTTCGAATGGGCACAGGCCGCTTCTCGGGCGCATGCTTGGCGGCGTGGGCCCCGTGGGCTCTCAGGCTAGTTTCCAAAGCATCCTCAGCCCCTACAGGTGGAAAAAGAAAATGGCGACCAGCCCGCCCAGACCTGCATGGTGCATCCAGGGCCTGTCCAGCAGCACTTCCTGCAGGTGGGCGCAGACCACCTGGGCACGAGCAGCAGCCCTGCCCCCCTCCCCAAGGGGTCTCCTGGGACACCCTCCATTCCCACCAGGACTTTTCATATGTGCAGCAGAGAAAACATTCGAAACTGCCAAAAACATCCCATTAGCATGGAGGTCCCCAAAATGCTGGGCCCTGGGACACAGCTGAGGCCCCTTTGGAGAAGGGCTGCAGGTGGCCTCCCCCACGGCACCGCCTCTAAGGAAGACAGGTGAGGCCAAGGAGGGCTGGAAGAACCAGCTGCCTATGGCGCCCCAGCTTGGCCACCTCCGGGGGGTTCGGGGCTGCCAGGTTGCCCACCTCCAAGACCAAAGGACAAGCCTACTGAGACTGTGGGTGCATGTGTGTCTCCTCCGCCTTCCTCCCGCCAAGCCAAGCCTTAATGGCGGGTCTTAACCTCTGAGGAGTGTCGGAAGAGCCAGGCTGAGCCAGACCCCGCTTGTTGCTGAAATGAGTGTCTACTGAGAGCCAGAGGCCACGGCCTCTCGTGGAGCACATGGAGGAGATCCAGGGCCTGGCAGAGAGAGGGGAGAAATTCCCCCCAGCAGAGAGGAAGGTGTGGGAAGCCCAGCGTCCGTGCACCACGTCCACGGCAAGTCAGGGACGCGCGGGCCGGTTAGGGAGAAGGCCCCCGGCCACAGAGCAGTGGCCCAGAGCCAGGCAGAACTGGACCCGTATCAGCACCGAGCATCCAACCCCTGCACACAGACCACCCCGCTTAAAGGGGATGATGGCTGCAGAGACAGGCAGGGGAGGACACAATCCTGCCACCTGCCACGTGGATCAGCCCAGCCCACTGACACTGCCCACCCTTGGGTGAAGTGCACCACACCTGGCCTCCCTGCCTTGGCACTCTGGACACAGCTGGGGGTCTCTTCCCACGTCCCTGTGGCCAGTTTCCCCAATATATAACCAGGGCAAACAGGTTCTGAGAAGGTGGCCCCAACCGCCAGGTCTCTCCAGATGCACTGAGACTGCCACATCCTCTGAGCTGCCACATCCTCTGAAGCTCTGAGATGTCTTGGCCACTAGCCCAGACCACAAGTCCCCTCCCCGGTGCAAAAGAACCAAGGTCACTTTCTGCCAAGCCCACCAAGGTGTCAGTGATGGTCCGTCCACAAACTAAGGGGAGGACCCTCAGCTTCCTCCACCCCCAGAAGTCTGAAGCCTCACATTTAAACCCATCTTTGCACGCGGTGTGAAAACGTTGCATACGGTGTGAATGGCGAAGACCACGTCTCAGCCTGACTTTCTACTTAAAATGACTCAATGTTCCAATGCCACTAATTTTTTTTTGAGACCCGAAATAAGATCAGAACAGAACTACTCATGCAGTAAGAATTTCCCATCAACCAACTGTTACAAGACACATTTTTTCACAGAAAAGTGACACATCTGAGTCATGTCCTGGTGGTGGCCATCTTGACATGCCCAAACCAAAGAGCAACTGGCCCACGCTCAGCGCCCAGGAGGAAACGCAATACCAACGCCAGCTGCCACGTTCCCGCGCCTTACTACGGCCATGTTTGCACCAACTACTTCACCGATTACCATCTTTACACGTGTGCAGCAGGTGCTCTCACCTCGTCACATCTGAAGATATTGAGGCCTGGAGAAACCTAGCAAGACAAGGACGAGTGGCAGATGCGCTCAGGCGCCACCCCCAGCGCAGGCCTCTTGCCCTGGCTTAACAGACAGAGGACAACAGCGCCACCAGTTCATCCACCCTGCTGCGTCTGAGTCGGCGAATTTCTTTCCAGACAAGAGGCCGGGAGGGAATGAATGGCTCCTGGTCAGACAAGCCCACCCTCTGCCCGGGATCAAGACGGGTGGCCACAAACAAGAGGTGACCTGCACTAACAGGAGCAGCGGCCACTCTGATTCACGCGGGTTAGAAGGAACTCACTCTAGTGTTGCATAAACCATTCCCTAAAACTGCTCCCAGGGCAGCTGTCAAGATGCTTTCCCTTTTGTCTTCTGCGCACGCAGGTCCTGCAACCATCGTCCTGGGGGAGCGTTAATGGGGCCACTTATGTATCGGTTGCTCCATGGCCCCCGGAAGCCAGGCCAGCCTGCCGCCTCGGAGAACAAGGCTCCCTGCCACCACTTCACATGGGTCGAGCAGGCCGTTGGTCATGACAACACCACACACTGGTCTCTGAGTCCAAAAGCCACACGTGGAAAACCAACTACTCCTTTATTCTGCACACACCCTTGGGACCCCTGGGCTTGGTGGCAGCAGCACAGGAGTCGTACCAGCTCATGGCCTCCTCACACGGCCAAGGTGCTGCAAGCTGGGAGGAAGTGCCAGCTCGCTACCTCACCTGTGAGATGGGGACGGAGCCTGCACAGGGAGGAGCCCTGTGCCAACCACCACGCTGCGGTGGCAGAGCGGGGAGCCGCCTCCCTGGGGCACACTGGACAAGCCTCTTTTCGGCCTCCTGAAGCATCGCCTCCAGGAACCCAGCACCAAGAACATCAACCTGGAAGAGCCCACCTCTGGGAGTCATGAAGTGGATAAAGGAAGTGGGGGACAGTTATCCCACACCCAGCCCCAGGCAGCCTACTCTCAGTGAATGGCCACAGCAGCCCGGTCCCACCTCCCCCAGCCATCTGATGGGTTTCAACTCTTCACTTAGGGCAGGAACAGCACCAGCACCTCTCTTGTCCTCAGGCCATACCTGGGGAGGGGCCTGGACCAGGAGTTTGCAGTCATAAAAGGTTCTCCCAGGGGCAAGGCTGGGGGGCAAAGGGCTACACTTTGTTCCAACCCACCCTAAGTTTCCCAGGCACTAGGAGAATCATGTCCAGACCCCAAACTTTTGGACGGGAAGCAGGAGGGCTGGGACCCACCCTCTGTATTCCCTGGAGCCAGAGGCAGAAGAGCTCCTGAGACATTTTTACAGGGGGCAATTTGAAACCAACCAGGAGGGACAGGCTGGTGCATCCGTTTGGGCCCGCCCCAAAGAGGCTCGGTGAAGCCCCCAGGTCAGGAATGCCTCAGCAGAACCCCACAGTGCTGCAGGGCTAAAGTGTCAATGGGTGGGGGCGGGGCTGCAGAGGCAGAATAAGAATGGTGCCCCCAGCAAGTGAATGGCTCATTTCCCTGCAGCATCCGAAGCCAGACAAAAAACCCTGGAATCTTCACTCTGACAGGCAGCCCTCCACTTCCAAATATGCAGGGGGACCAGCAAAACTCAGGCCAGGCGAGTGTTTTCCTGGCTGCCCTAAGCCAAACCCTTCTCCCCAGGGTTACTCTTCAAGGGACCAGATCAAAATCCCCCCTGGCCCAACTCTGATCTCCAAGTGAAATTCTACCCCCGTCCAGATAAGGATCAGTCGGAGGATTTCCTGGGTCAAGAAACTACAGAAACCATCGGCCTCGTTAGAAAATGGTTTTGGCATGAAATGAAAATAGTTCAGGCTTCTCCACCACCATAATTAGGTACAAATTTCCAAATGACTAGACCATGTGATTTTACTTAATTCCACCGCCACCCCCCCTTTTCGGAGTAGTCTGCAGAGAGAGAAAAACCTTCATTTCACTTAAAATTCTTCCAATTCTACTGCCTTTAGTTACTCTTTTCAACAAGTTCATCTTAGGCCTTTTTTAAAAACCAATCAACAAGGTTTCCCACGTGAGCACTTCCCTAGTTAACTCTCACGCTTAAGTTTCCAAGCCAAGTGTTAATTTTGAAAAGGGCCCCACAAAACTGTGGAGGGGACCTGTCTTCCAGGAAGGGGCTCTCTGCATCCCTCACGGAGGGGACCCAGGCGGGGGAGCCAGGTGGGCGGCCACCCAAGCCCACAGCCACTCTCCCCCTCCCAGCCTCAATTTGGGTCCCTGGTCAGAGAGAAACGCTTTTAACCCTTGCAGACCCAAGTCTAGTCCAACTCTGCAGCTGACACCGTTTCCAAACTGTGCTTACAAATAAACTGTTCTCTAAAGTGCCTGGGCTCCAGGTCCTGAGGGTGAGCCCCAAAATAGACCCCAAGGAGCAGATGTGTGCAAGTTGTGTCTTTTTATAGGGTCGTGAAAGGAGAAAGACAAGGGCCTCCTGCAGCTACAAAGGACCAGCCTCCGGCAACAACTCACCAGCTCCCAGGGATTACTAAGGGCCTTGGCCCCGGGGACCGCTCCTCCCTCAAGCCGCCCGTGGACCCGGAGCCGCGCCTGCCCCCAGGGCCTCGCTTTGCGGACCGCTGCCCCGAGCTCGGGCTAGGGCTCTGCGCCCAAGGCCTGAGCCGGCTTCCGCGGCTTCTCCGGCCTCGGGACGGGCGCGAGGCCGGCACACCTGGCTGGGGCGCCGGCGCCCTCTATGCGGCTGAACTTTCTGTGACACACGCGGCATTTTCCTTAAATGCGAAAACAATCCCTGGGCGAGCGAGCAGCCCTGGGCCGTCGCTGGGAGAGAAAGTGGCGATTGGAAGAGAAACTCCTGACTCATCCGCCTGGGCGTTTATGGCCGAGGATTGGATTCTGACCTTTCGGTGCGCTCCTGCGCGGCGCCCGGCCCGGCCCGAGCGCGGGAGGCGGCGCGGGGCGCACAGACTCCCTGCCCGCCCCTCCCCGCGCGCCAAGGGAAGGGGCGCGATTTACCTACGGAGTCTATCTCCAGGAGTCGCTGGAGGTCCCGGATGCTGTGGATCTGACTGTGCGCCAGCCTCTCGATCACCTCGCGGGGGATCTCGGCTTCCTGCAAGCAGAGGCCACACGGTCAGCACCCGCGGCCCCGGCCCCGCCGGCTCGCGCCCCGGCCGCCGAGCGCGCCTCTTCCCCGGGCCCAGGTGACCCCACCAGCGCTGGCCGCAGCCCCCGCGCCGGCCCACGAGGAGCCCTCGCCTGAGCCCGGGAACCGGAGGCCGGGGGTGGGGCTAGGAGAGACCCCAAATTCTCCGACTCATCCATGTCTGCCGTTTGCAAAATTAAAGTCCCCCCACCTTTAAAATTTCAAACAAAAGCCCCCGCACTCTGGCCTCTCCGCCCGGGGTGTCAGTTACAGAAGGTCTGAGGGCGGCGAGGGGGCCGGGGAGTTTCTGATTTAATAGTAAGATCAACATCTAGAAAGATCAAGTTGAAATGCGTCACGGATCGACGACGAAAGTCACGGCGGCCCTAACACTTTAATCTAGCCAGGGGCTTAAATTTCACGCCCGGAATCCCGGGTGAACCCGCCGAGAGGAGCCTCTCCGTCTCACAAACACACGCGCGCAGACACACACTCTCACACACTCGCACACACACTCTCACACACTCGCCCCACCCCAGGCTCTGGCCCAGCCGCGGCCCTAGCGCCGACTGAGACACCCAAATGCAGCCGGCAGCTAGGAGAGGCTGCCAGGGAAAGAGAGGGTTAAATATCCACCTCTGGCAGCCCGCAGGTCCCTGCCCAGACCGCCCTCACCTCTCGCCCCCCACTCTCCTCCTGATTTTTAAAAGGAGTCGGGGGTCGCTGGGGGAGCCTCTAGCACCAAGTTCCCACGACGGGGGCTGCAGAAAGTCATTCATCACAGCACAGCACAGTACTGGGGGGGTGGGGACGGCGCGGTGGGAGGGCGCGGGCGCCTGGCCCGGCCCCAGCTCGCCTAGCTCAGCCACCTGTAAGCAGGCCCCGGGCGGGCGGGACTGCCCCGGCCCTGCACCCGGCCGGGCTTGGGGACCGGGAACCGGGGGCTGGGGATCGCCGCTGCCCACCCTGCCTGTCCGGAGGCTTCCGCCGCAGCCATCTCTACCTGTTTGTCGGCTGCCCTCCTCCCTTCTCGGGGCTCCGCCAGCTCACACACACCCCCTTCCCCGCTCTCCGCACCCCGTTACTGCATTGCCCGCCGCGCCCCAGCTACCCCTCCCGAGAAAGGCGCCCGCGCCCCCCGAAGTTTCTCCCCACTCGTCCACCTTACTGCTCCCCGGTCCCTCCAAGGCAGAGAGACGCAACACGCTGGAAACTCACCAGACACACTTAGGCATGGCAGAAAATAGAACCCAGTTCGGAAATTCTAAAAATCGACCACCCTAGCAGAGAAATTAAAATGCTCTCTGCAGAGCCCGGACCACCCTGGCCAGCGGGCGGCCGCGGAAGGTGTGCGCCCGGGGAATCGGAGAGGGGACGGGGCGCGGGGGCGGCACCAACCTCGGCCAGGGCATGGGCGAGGTATCCGCAGCCGAGAAGCAGCAAGCAAGCCCAGGTCCTCATCGCGTCCCGAGGCGCTGGCGGGGAGGCGGGGAGGCGAGGCCGCGGGGCGGGCGCTCCAGCCGGGCTCCTGTGGCGGCGAAATTCAGTACCATCCCTCAGGGAGCGCGGCCCGGAGGAGGGTGGCGCGGGGAGCAGGGAGCCGGCGGAGCGCGCCCGGCGCGAGCGGTGAGTGCGGAGAGGCAGGCAGCGCCAACGAGGAGGAGGAGAAACAGGGAGTGCGCGCCCGCCGCGCCCGCCGCGCCGGGAGCCTCCTGGGCCGCCGGGTAGGGGGTGGGGACGGAAGGGGCGGAGGGCGGGGGCTGGGCTTCTTCCTTGGTGCGTTCCCGGTGCTGGCCGCCGCCGCGCTCGCTCCCCGGCGCTGGCTTTAGGAGCGCCTTGGCCGGTAATTCTGCATATTTGCGGGCATCGGCCCCGAGAGGGACTCCAGAGCGAGGCTGGAGCCGCTGCCGCCGCACTACCGATCACCTGTCTGGACGCCCGGCCCGGCCCGGCCTCTGCTGCGGGCTTGCGCTCTCCCTGCGGGCTGCGGGCTGCGGGCTGCAGGCGGCTCTGCGCGCCCACCACCGGGCCCTCGCTCGCCTCCGGCCTCCTCTCGCAGCCGCCGCCTGGCCGGGCACAGCGCGGCCCAGCACTGCGAGGCTCGGCGGCCTGCGTGCGCCCCTCCACGGCGCGCCCTCGGCTCCGGCGCCGCGCTCCGCCCTCCGCCGGCCGGGG